CTGGTGTTTTGTCTGTTCCTCCTATCTCTGCCTGTGCTCTGCTATGAGCTCGCACCTCGGACAGTACAACCACAGGGCTCCATCCCTGCCCACCTGAAAGCAGACGGCCTTTGTGCAGCTTGGGGGTGGAGAGCAAAGGAGGGAGGAGCACTTGCTCTCTCTCACAGTGGAGTCAGGCAAGAAGAGCGAAGAGCAGAGAGCAGCGCTGGGGCCTGAGAGCTGTCAGGAACCGGGAAGCAGGGACAGGAGCATTTGTGTGGACCCATCCCTGGACCACTCTCCCACTCCCCACACCCATGAGGAGGAAGATAAACTGAACGAGATGGAGGATCAAGGCTGTAATTACACTTAATTCAATTTATTGTTCAGCTCTGAAATCAACTCCCCAGATTTAGGAGTTGGGATGGTGCCAAAAGACAATTCCAGACACCGCTTTTGTAGCCTCTCAGCCTTGACCTGTGTGGGTCCTCATTCCTCTTCAGGAATGGGATGCTGGGACATCTTTGACCTGTGTCCCCTAGGAGATCCCTGTAACCCACTTTCTGCCTACTCCACCCTGACAGTCCAGTCCCAGGCACGGTTCAGGGTCCTTGTGTGGACTGGGCTTTCTGCAGTGGACACAGGAGGGAGGTTAGGAAGAGGCAGAGGAAGATCCTTGTCATATAGGCCTGTTCCATGCTCAACCCTTGGGAGGCACCAGGCTGCATCAGGGCTTGTGTCTGTGCCATCTTTCATGCCACGAGGGTCAGGTTAAAGCTGGCTAACCCAGAGTTTCCTCCACAAAAAAGGACCTTCAAGCCAGTGGCTCAGTTTATAAACCCGAATCCATCATATCCTGCTTTAGACAACTTTCTCCCTGTGAGGCATCTACATGGGGGCATCTATTATTCAGAGTTGGTGGCACAGCACGGGGCTGGGTACCATTCCAACGTCTCTCTTGTCAAATGATCAGTGAAAGAAACCCTTGGCCAAGGTGACTTGTGTGCCCAGGTCACTTAGGAGAGTTCTGGTTTCTGTTCCTGGCTGTACCACCTGCCCCCTTGGCCACGGCACCTCCAAGGAGGCCTCAGCGGCATCAGGTTTGCCTAAGATGTGGAGATAAGAAGAGTGCCAGAGGACAAGCTTTCTGCTCCGGCCTTCGGGCTGGCCCCTGCCTCTGACACTGAACATCCTGACAGTTAATCTTCAGCTATTCAGTTTGCTCTGGAAACCTGGAAATCACCTTTGAAATTTCCCTTCTTTGTTCTCACAGCCAAGAGCACAAAAGGAGCAGGTAGGTCTGAGAGGCTGAACCCAGGAATTTCCAGTTCCTGCTTCTACCCAACTCTGAGGAAGGAATCTGTTCATCAGTGTAGATGGGTGGGGGGTGGGGTGGGGGTGGGGGTGTAGACTGGGGAGCACCTCGGGGAGCACCTCTCCCCAGTCCTGCATTTTGGATCCTGACTCACTTCCCTCTGGCTCCCCAAATATACTAGACCACAAGAGATAAAGAGATTCTTGGTCCCCCAAGAGAGTTGGCTGTCACCTGAGCAGAGGTGTGCACTGCAAGGTCACTCACGGGCATGCAACGTCCCTTGGGGCATGTAATAGGCCCTCTCTGAGACCAACCTAGGAGCCACTTAGAAGTTCAGGCTCCTTGGGACCAGGAACTCCACAATGTCACCACTTTTCCCCTCTAGGTCTTTGGCCTTTCCAGATCCCTAGACCCTTGGGAAAAGGCCAAGGGATATCCTGATAGAAGCCATTGGAAAAGCAACTTCCAGGGCTGTGATGAGTGATGGTTTCCGGCTTCCTTTTTGTGGTGGTAGCTGGGAGGGGCTGTGAAGGGAAAGGCTTTCCAGGTGGATGCCTTTGATAACTCTCTTTGTGGAGGAAGCAGAAGAAATGCTTTTCCCAAGTCTTCATTCACCTCAGAAGGATCCCTGCCCGGTGGCTGACCTATAATTTCTCACTTTCCAGAAGAAATGCTTTTCCCAAGTCTTCATTCACCTCAGAAGGATCCCTGCCCAGTGGCTGACCTATAATTTCTCACTTTCCTATCTGGGATCAAACTAGCTCCTTGGAAGTGTGTCAGCTCACAATGTTGACTAGATAGCCCCAGTGTATAACCTGCACCTGCTTCATGCCATAAAGCTACCTCATGAGAAGTTCAAATGAGGGACACCATGGTACATGAAAGGAGCTCTGGTGGTAATCCCTATAATCCTGTAATCCCAAAAACGGTTCAAATCCACCAGATGTTCCATGGGAGAAGGATGGACAATTTCCTCCTGTGTGATTTACTGCCTCTGAAAACCTGCTGGAGGGTCAGCTGTGGGTTAATTCTCAATTAGTGGCACCCAACAACAACATGGCCAGTGTATGGGGGAGATGGGACTTGCTTTTCATCTCAGAATCTTGGACCCCAAGGATTTTCCCTGCCCCACCACAGACCCTTGGAGAATCACAGAAGGCATTTAGCACATCCACTCTTCCATCTCTTCAACAAGCAGTCAAGCAAATGGGGCAAGTACGGGAGTTTGTTAAGCTCTCAGGTCTGAAAGATGGACACTTTCCATACAGTAAGTACATCAGACAGGCCCTGAGGAGACTGGGCATGTACATGAGCCTTAACATTTTTTCTTTTAAGAACCAAAACACCTCATTTTCTATCAATTGTGTTGTTGTGCTTTTTTTAAAAAAAAAAAAGTCCGAATCATAATCAAGTAGTCATTCTGAAACTTTATCTCCCTGGCCAGCCACCCAGAAAAAGACCATTGTTGGAAATGTGCAGAATACAAGAGACAATGAATGAAGGTGACAAAGAGAGTGGAAATTGAAGCCTTATCTTTGAGGACTATTGGGAGGGAAGGGCTTGTGGAGTCTCTTGGCAGATTTCTCCTTTCCTCCTACATTCTTTCCACCTTCTCTTCTCTACCCGCAATAAACTGAAGCTTCACTGAGGCCTGAGGTTCAGAAGAAAATGGTTCCTGCTGGTATGAAATCAAACCACCTTTTGAAACTTTCCACTAGGGCCACCGCACTCAAGTCACTGAGGTAACCCTCACATCTTAGAGGCCTGGAGAAGGGGGAGGCTCCAAGGTGATGGGGAAAACAAGAAATGGATTCTCTGGGGCCTAGAAGTCATCAGAATACAGTGTGATTTATTTAGATGGCCAGGATTTAGTAGTCCAAGGACCTGACTGAAAATTCTGAGTTTATTAATAACCTACATGACCTGGAGCAAGTTAGTGGGAAAAATAATCTGTGGTTATTAAAGAATGGACATGACTAAAACTTTGTCACTAGCTTTCTGAGAATTTTGTTGGTTTTTTTGTGGTTTTATTTTGTAGTCTGGCGATTTATGGTTTTATAGTCTAGATGTTTCCTTTTTCATCTTCACATTTTAATCTTACAGCTCAAACAATAGCACCTCCATCTATCTGCTTACATGTACATAGATTTACTAAGAAAATAAACTAACAAATCCTAAAAAAAATAGGAGGGTGGAATAAGAAAATGTGTAAAAACACAGCACAAATGTGAGAGGTATTTGCAGACACAAGGTCCAATGGAGACCCCACATATCTTCTACCTTCTGGTAATCTCAGTCTTCTCTGGCGACCCCACGCTAATTGTTAACTGGCTCTCCTCTCTCCTATCTCCAGCGCTGTAGCCTTTTTTTTTTTTAAAAAAAAACTTTCTTTGGTGGAAAGGGGCTGGGAAATGTGGCTTTGGCCAACTCGGGAGAAGGGGCCTTTATATGTATCAGCAAAGGCTTGATTGTTACAGACACCAAACTGGGCTGCTTTCCCCAATTATCTCCACCACTACTCTTCTGTTCTCATTTTCCGATGCCAAATTTTAACTCAGAACAAAAGCTGCTGTCGGGGCTGATTTATAATCCAGATCTGCTGACCCATCCTAAAATGCTCCCCCCCCCCCCAAGGACTGGAAGGCATCCTGTAAAGTCAGAGCTCCAGGCCCCTTCATCTCTCCCTGCTATCCCTAGCCACGAGGTGGGTGGGACCAGCCTCCAAGTGCCTACCTGGTTGGCCTCCCTGGTTCTCTGTCCACCTGCCCAGCTCGGACGGAGCACAGTTGGCAGGGAGGACACTGCAGCACCGCCCAGGAGCTCAGCGCTGCTTTACTTCGACGAGCGCAGTGGGCGGAGGCTGGAGGCTCTGCGGGCAGAGGTTCTGCTCCAGCGTGGCTCCCTCAGCCCCTTTCATGTGAACCTCAGGGCTCACGCCACTTGTTAATCAGCTTTCCCAGAAGGAGTAATTTCTTGGGGGTAAGCTTCGGACAACAGGAGGCAAGGGCTGCCTCCATCCGGAGCTGGACTAGCAGCGCTGAGCAGTTTGGCTGGAACAGTAGGATTCAGAAGTGGACCCTCCCCAGAGCCTGGGGTCTTCCTGACCAGTGCAGGCCGTTCCCTCCTAGGAGGAGGGGCCAGAGAGGGCTGGAGCAAAGAACCGAGGAAGCGTTTGGGGACGGAAGACAGACCACTTTTGGTCCATCTGCACTGCTGCCTCGGACACTCGCCCCCACAGCGCTCCTCCTGTGTCCGTCTCTCCTCTCAGCCCCATCCGTGTCGGTACAGCGGGCAGCTCAGCCCGCGGAAGGCCTTCGGGGACACTTGAGAAAGCCGGGGTGAGTCTGATTCCCCGGGACAGAGTCCCGGGGTCTGTCCGCCGCTGCACCTTCAGGCGTGTGACGCAGACGGTGACTCGGAGGAGCACGGCGCGTGGGCAGCGGCTGGGGCGGGGGTTCTGGCCCCGGGGCGCAGCCTGTGGCCCCACAGGTCGCGGCGGGTCGCAGCCCCTCTGGGCGGGTCCTCGCGCCCCCCCCCGCCGTTGACGTCAGGGGAGGGGCGGAGAACGGCCGCAGCGGAGAAGGAGCCGGCACCCGGCACCGGGGCGCGGGCAGCCGAGCTCCGGGTGCGGGCTCAGCCGGCCGAGGCGGGCGGTGCGAGCGAAGCGGCCGCCCAGGGCGGTGGGCGGTGCGAGGGGAGGGAGTCGCCGGCGGGGCGGCGCCCGGGGATCGGATCGGCGCGCGAGAGGTGAGTGAGACGGGCCGCGCGGGGCGCCCGGCCGCCGCTTTGTCCGCCCTTCGGGCGCGGCCGCCTTTCACGCGAGGCGCGGGCCCCGGGGACGCACGCAGGAGCGGTCACGGGGGCAGCTGTCCGCCCCTGAGCTTGTCCGCGGGCCCCGCGGGCTGCCTCGGGCGGAGCGGGGCGAGCCGTGTCTCGGTCACAGGGTCCGAGGGGCGGGCCGGCCGGGAGGAGCGGGGCTGAGTGCAGTGGGGGTCCCTGCTCGTGCCGCCCGGCCCGTGCCTGGGCTCCTCGCCAGGGTCCCTCACCGCCCGTGGATCCCCACCCCCGGCGGAAAGTTTGAGTCGGACTTGGTGTGAGGGCGATGCTGTGGGGATCGGATTTCCCTGCTGCGGCCCCAAGTCCTCCTGCCCGTTCCGCATGGAAGGCGAGTTGTCCCGGAAAGCCAGGTCCCCAGTCCGATCCAGGCACCCTGTTCTAGCGGGAGCGCGCCCTGCCGCTGCGAGATTGTCTGCTCAGTTAGTCGGCCACTCTGCGGGGTGCAGAGGCTGGAGTCACATTGCTTGGGCCCCTTCGGCCACCCCCCAGCTCCCGCCCTGGGGCCTGTCTTCACTGCCCCCGGTGGAGAGGGGGTGGACGCGTGCTGCACCGGCTGGTGCTGGGCGCGCCGCGGGGCCGGACCGGGGGCGTGTTGGGGTGGGTGGGCGACCGAGGCAGCGCCGATTCCCCCGCCCTTCCCGCGCTGGGGTTTTGGGCCGACAGGGGGCGCCCACCGGCCGGTCTCCGCCACGCTCCGGCGCCGCCGCTTTGTTTGCATTCAAATCCCCGGAGCTGGGGGAGGGGAGAGCCCGGAGGGACCGGGACCGGGGGTCTTGGTGGGGACCCTTTGTTTTGGGATGAGCAGGTTCCAGTCTCCGTGCACCGAATTGGCGGGCAGGAGCATTAGCAGTCAGTGCGGATACCCTGCCCTGTTCCGAGTCCCCGGGGCGCAGTCCTCGAGTTGGGAAGGGTCGTCAGACCGGGTTGGGGATAGCGCTGCAAGAGCCAGTCCTGCAGGATGTGTTCCCTGTGCCCCGAGGGGAGTCTTCCACCCCACCCTTCCACCTGGTGGGAAATCTACAGTCCTGTCCTCTGACCAGTCGCTCAGCCGGAAGGCTGAACGCCTCTTGGGAGCCTGTTGGAGAAACAGGATGAAACCCTGGTCATTTCCACGCCCATCCTACCCACTTCCTGCCTGCTTTCTCGGGCAACAAAGGGGCCCCCGGGAAGCTGAGTTCTTTGGGCTCCCGACTCCATTCCAACCCTGCTGATGTGGAAGAGTTTTGGGCTCAGCCCGAGCGAGCTATTGTCTACACTGGGGGAGGGGAGAGAGTTAGGCCACTACCTCCACCCTCCTGCTCCACAAGGTCCCCCTTTGGATCCTCCTCCGCTACTAGCCCGCGCCGGTTGTCGGTGCACCCCACTATGGTGTCTGTATCATAGAATTAGCTCTCTGCCCTGCCTGGAGCCCCAGGGAGGCAGGTTGGGCTTCCTGAGGTTATTTAAGAACTCTCAGACCGTTCAGGCCTGGGTGTAGGGGACAGGGTCCCCTTAATATTTTTTATAAATAACTTCCTGTTGAGTAGTGGAGGATCTGGAGGCTTCGGGTAGTCTTGGAAATCGGAAGTGTCTACTCCAGCTGACTCAGATCCTCACCCTTTCCCCCAGGGAGATCCCAATCTTTTGAGGACTGGAACCAGGGGGCGGGGTTTGCGCCTCCCTTCCTAGGAGAAGGATGGAGGGAAGACTCTGGGAACTCTTGGGAAAGCTGAACAGCCGATCTGTCACTGCCTAGGGAGTGGGCTTTCTTCCGTCCTGACGCTGATGGAGATTCTGATCCTTTCTCTTCCCCCAGCAGGGCAGCTGGCCTGGCACTTAGAGCTGGAGCTCCCAGCCATGGCCCCACATTGGGCTGTCTGGTTGCTGGCAGCGGGGCTGTGGGGCCTTGGCATTGGGGCTGAAGTGTGGTGGAACCTTGTGCCCAGGAAGACGGTCTCTTCTGGGGGTGAGTGCCTGAAGTCAGGAGGACTGTGGAGAGTGGGGAGCAGGAAGGGTGACTGAGGCATATTTGCGGAAATGCAAGGGCAGCTAAGGCCCACTGGTGTGTTTGGGGCAGTGTTTTAAGAATCTCAGGTGTGGCCCAAAGACTCAGAACTGGTACAATCAGGAATTGGGACTTTCCTCCTTCAAACATGAGATGGCCACTCCTATAGTGCAAGAGGGAAGCCAGGCCTGCATTGCTCCCTCCATGCCTTTTGAATTATTAGCACTAGCGCCATTGTTGTGTACTGTCCAGTGGGATTTTCAGAGACAGTAAATCACTTGGGAGGAAGATCCCCATATTTCTTTCCTAGAGTAGCTAGTAGATTTGAACTGCTTGCATGTGGGCTGGCAGTTCAGTTCTTTACCACTATGCCACCAGAGCTCCCTGTCACTAACACTGTTGTTGTGTACCATGGAGTCAGAAGCAGCCCATAGTTAACCCTCCAGCAGGTTTTCAGAGGCAGTTAATCACACAGGAGGAGATTGACAGTCTTTCTCCTGTGGAGCAGCTGTTAATTTTGAACCATGTGCCTTTGGGTTGGCAGCATGATTCCTTACCACCAAGCTACCCAAGCTCCCTGTTGCCAGCACTTGCTGTTTGTCATTGAGTCAGAACCTACCAATAACTGACCCTCTAGCAGGTTTTCAGACACAGTAAATCGCATGGGAGGAAATTACCCAATCTTCTCCCACACAGCAGCTGGTGGATTCGAACTACACACCTTTGAATTACAGCACAGCTTCTTATCACTAGGCCACCAGAGCTCCCTGTTTGTTACTAGCACTAGGGGAAGCCAAAGAGAGGACTAGGGATAGTAGTAATCCCCTCTGGAATCTTTCTAGCTTTAACCCTTTGCTCTCAGGAGCTCACAGGAGCTCACTGGCCACTGCTCTGGCCCTGACACACAGCTCTGACAGTGGCTCTGCTTGGCTGTGTGTATGGCTGTGCACTCCAGCAGGCAGGGCCTGACAGGGCCAGCAGGCCCGACACACGTATCTTGCAGTGGCCCTGCCTGGCTGTGTATATGGCTATGCACTCCAGCAGGCAGGGCTGGACAGGGCCAGCAGCAGGCCTGCCCCTTCCTCTTGCATGCACCTCTACAGAGAGGTGATGTCAGGTGTTTGTATCCTCTCTGCACCCTGGGGACCCTGGAATGAGCTCACTTCCCTCAGGCTCCACTCAGATGCTAATGAAGCCCTCCTGGGCTGGCTTGTTTCTGGACTTCTCATCAGCACCAGAATCTATCTAAGGCTGGTTTGGAGGGACCCTGAAGACAGGCTGAACTATTTGAGAAGCAGCCGCAGGATTCATTTGTTTGACTCTCGGACTTCTCTGGTGCTGCAGCTGGCTGTCTGGGTGGCTTCCTCACGCCAACACTGGCCACTGAGCCTGGCCCATCTGGGCTGCTCCGCAGACAGATTTGGGTCCTGCTAGAGTGGAGGGGTCACACCTGTTCTGTGCTGTTTGACCTAGGCTCGGAGCCTAGCTGGAGGCTGCTGTGGGTTATCAGCAGTCAGTATAAAGAAGGAAATAGCAGCTGAGGAATCCTGGGTCCTAGGGCCGGAGATGCTGTTGACTCTTGACAGTCAAAGCCATTAGTCTGATGGTTTCCTCTGGCCGGAAACTGGCAGGGATATTCTTCCTTCCTCCTCCCCTGCCTGGATTTGCTTCCCCTCTGCCTGGGGTAGAGCTGAAGGGCTGCTCAGAGGAGCCTTTATCACTAGTCATGGGACTTGGCTAGCATTGGCTAGTGGAGTGCTGGATCAGAGAGAGGGCCTTGGGGTCACTGTACCTAGGCGGCCACTGTGAAAAGGAATATTGGTCCTCAGGTGGCTGGCGCCTGTCCCCAGCCCCTTCCACCATCTACTCCGGCCTTGCCTTGCAGAGCTGGCACCGGTGTTGCGACGGTTCTCCCAGACGGGCATCCAGGATTTCCTGACACTGACCCTGACTGAGCAGACGGGGCTCCTGTACGTGGGGGCCCGGGAGGCCCTGTTCGCCTTCAGTGTGGAGGCTCTAGAGCTGCAAGGAGTGGTGAGAGGTGGGGGAGTGGGAGGCACTCTGGTGGGATGGCAGGCAGGATGCAGCGGGGTGTGGCTTGGTCAGCTGCCTCTTCCTGATCTTTTCTCCCTGTTGAAATCTTGCTCCCTATCCTGGGCCAGTCCTCCAGCCAGAATCCGTTTCTTCCCCACCCCTCCCTTTTTGTAGCACTTGACTAGATTCTGCTGTCATCAGTCACCAGAACTTTTGTCCTTTATTAAAATAAGCCTCCAGAGAAGCGGGGCTGTGTCTTCTCATGAGGTATCCCCAGATTGTTGCTTCCAGCCATTCTGTAGCACATGATCACTGTACTTCTGTGATGTTGTTGACCTGTCCCCTCTCTGTCCCCAGATCTCGTGGGAGGCCCCAGCTGAAAAGAAGGCAGAGTGCATCCAGAAAGGGAAGAATAACCAGGTGGGTGCTGGGCCCCACTGGCACCGTGTGCCCCCGTCACCACTCTCCCTAGCCTTCCCCTAGGACCAGCACTGGTTTTGGTCCTGTTATGTCCCCATACCTTCATACCCTGATCACTGGATGCCTGTCTTTCTCAGACGGAGTGTTTTAACTTCATCCGCTTCCTGCAGCCCTACAATGCGTCCCACCTGTATGTGTGTGGGACCTACGCTTTTCAACCCAAGTGCACCTACATTGTGAGTGTCACACCTCCCCTTGTCCCAGTTCCAGCCCCTCTCTGGACGCCCCTTGCTGTGCCTCAGTCTCATAGTCTCTCTCTGGGTTTCTAGGACATACTCACCTTCTCTTTGGAACGTGGAGAGTTTGAGGATGGAAAGGGAAAGTGTCCCTACGACCCCGCTAAGGGCCATACTGGCCTCATTGTGGGTGAGTTGTAGTCTCTGATAGAGGCCAGGGCGTCCTGGAGGACTTGGCTCCACTCTGGGACTGTGTTGGGCCTGTCCTCAGTCTGGTGGACCTTCCTTACGTTTCTTATAGATGGTGAGCTATATTCAGCAACATTCAGCAATTTCCTGGGCACAGAGCCTGTTATTCTCCGTAACATGGGCCCACACTACTCTATGAAGACAGAGTATCTGGCCTTTTGGCTCAATGGTGAGCCTGGAAGGGCTGGTCTGGGGAGGAGGTAGGAACAGCAAGGGGCCTATGGCATCCCTCCGCTGACCCTTGTCCCCTCCCCTTAGAACCTCACTTTGTAGGCTCCGCCTACATACCGGAGAGCCTGGGCAGCTTCACAGGGGACGACGATAAGATCTACTTCTTCTTCCGTGAGCGGGCGGTGGAGTACGACTGCTATGCTGAGCAGGTGGTGGCTCGGGTAGCCCGAGTCTGCAAGGTGCGCGCCCTCCACATGGTCAGGTGGTCCTGGGAGCCCCCCTGACCTGGCCGGCTGACAGTAGGTGTCTTCTTGCCGCCTGCCAGGGAGATGTGGGGGGTGCACGGACGCTGCAGCGCAAGTGGACCACGTTCCTGAAGGCTCGGCTGCTATGCTCGGCTCCCAGCTGGCACCTGTACTTCAACCAGCTGCAGGCAGTACACACCTTGCCAGGCACCTCCTGGCATAACACCACCTTCTTCGGGGTTTTTCAGGCGCGATGGTGAGTGGGCTGCAAGAATCCTTGAGGAGGGTTAGGAGCAGGTTAGAAGGTGCGAGGACCAGGACCCAGCCTCATGGTCTCTTATCAGCTAGGTCAAGAAGGATGCTAAACACCAGTACTTTTCCATGGCTCACTGGGAGGTGGACAGTCTCCTGTCCTAGGTGACATTTTATAGCTCAAAAGGCCCAGTGATGTGCTTTTTCTCTTGTGATGTCTTGTGCTAAGGAGATAGAACCAACTCATACCTGACCCTCCAGTGGGTTTTCAGAGGCTGCAAATGGCACAGGAGGTAATGGCTCATCTTTCTCCCTGGGGCACCAAGTGGATTCAGAGTACATGCCTTTGTGTTGACAGTGCAACACATTACCACTAGGCCACCAGATCGCCCTCCAGTGATAACGCTTCTAAACATCAGCTGTTGAAAAACCTCACAGGGCCCAGTTCGACCCTGACTCACATGGGTCACCAGGAGTGGGATTGTAAAGGAAAACACTCTCAAGCCCATGATTGTTTTGTGCTGGGCCTGCCTCCCTGGCTCTGTTCCCTGAGCTGCAGTGAGATGGCATAAGCTGGGCATCTGGCCTGAGCCTTTCGAGGGAACTCTCCCTGCTGCAGGGGTGACGTGGATGTGTCAGCGGTCTGTGAGTACCAGCTGGAAGAGATCCATCGGGTGTTTGAAGGCCCCTATAAGGAATACCGGGAGCAAGCACAGAAATGGAGCCGCTATACTGATCCCGTCCCCAGCCCACGGCCCGGCTCAGTGAGTACTCCAGGGCAAGGGTGCAGGCTCCCCGCCCTCAGATAGAGTGCGAGCCCAGCCAACTGTCCTCCCTCCACCCCTGTACCCTTCAGTGCATCAGCAACTGGCACCGGCACCATGGGTATACCAGTTCCCTGGAGCTGCCTGACAACACGCTCAACTTCATCAAGAAGCACCCACTGATGGAGGACCAGGTGGTGCCTCGGTGGGGCCGCCCCCTGTTTATCAAGAAGGACACCAACTTTACCCGCCTGGTGGTCGACCAGGTTAGAGGACTTGATGGAGCCACCTACACAGTGCTGTTCATTGGCACAGGTGCGGTACCACGGGGCGTGGACTGGCCAGTGGAGGCTGTGTGACCTGTGTAGCTTGCACAGGGAGATGCCACACACCCCAGGCCCTCTTACTTCCTTTGTCTCCATTCTTAGAAGACGGCTGGCTGCTCAAGGCCGTGAGCCAAGGACCTTGGGTCCACCTGGTTGAGGAGCTGCAGGTGTTTGATGAAGAGCCTGTAGAAAGCCTGGTCCTGTCTCAGAGCAAGGTAGGAAGTCTTAGTCTTCATCACCTTCCTGAGGTTGGTTCCTTTCTGGCCCTCCACCCTATCAGCCTTTCCCCAGTCTAGTTGGCATGCTTGGCCACAACAAGGATGGGAAGAAATGCACACACACGCACGCATGCTCTCTCTAGAATTCAGGGCACAGAGGAATCTCCCCTCCATGGGATCGTTACACATAGCCTGTTTCTTTGGGCTGATGTGTACCTGGAATTAGACTTGGCAGGTGCTCTGATATTTCTCTCAGACTCCCCGAGTTGAGCTGGTGGCTCTGGCTGGAGCTTCTTTCTGAAGCTACACATTCATTGCACTCTTGGCCAGTCCTCTCAGGCTGTGGTGATGTCTGCCACATCCTTCTGCACCCACTTGGAGCTTTCCTGTCGACCTCCCAAGTATGGACACTTCTGACCTTTCCTTTCCATGACCATGTTCCTGAAGGGCTTGTGGTAGCTTTGTTTCAGGCAGGTTTGTGGCATCCCTCAGCTTTCATTTGCTCACCTTTTCTCAACTGTCATGACTCAGAACTGTTCCCCAGAACATGAGGTAATGGCAGAAAGGACTAGTTAAACACACAGGCAGGTGAACACCATTCAAACAGGAAACCTGTTTGGGCTGTGCTAGTGCTATTGTGTTGAGAAAAATGGGTTTCCTATCTTGCCCCTACTTTAAGAGATTGTGTATGGGTCTGTGATTAGCCTACTCCTTGTGGGCGTGGTGGTAGTTTCTAATAAGGTCATGGTGAAAAGGTGCTTAGGATTGTTGTAAGCCCAAGTGTGGTGCCTGGTTCTCAGTATTCTGCCTCCTTCCTCTTTCTGCCACTCTGCTTTTGTGCACCTGGGAAGGCTCTGAGCCCTGCTTTACATACAGGTCTGGATGCTTCTTGGGGTGCTGCCGACTCATCTTCCTGTACCCTCTTCTCCACAGAAGCTGCTCTTTGCAGGCTCCCACTCACAGCTGGTTCAGCTGCCCTTGGCCGACTGTGGAAAGTACCGCTCCTGTGCCGACTGTGTCCTAGCCAGGGACCCCTACTGTGCTTGGAATGCTAACACCAGCCGCTGCGTCGCCCCCGGGAGCCATTCGGGGTGAGTTGGGCTCTACACATATGCAGGAGGGAGGAGGGCAGGGTGGAAGCAGGACCCTGACTGAGCCTCCTGCCACCAGATCTCCACTGATCCAGCATATGACAATCTCAGACACCTCAGCCATTTGCAGCCTTCGTGGCACTATGAAAGGTAAGCCAGCCAGTCCCCCTTATGAAGGAGGCACTGGGGTGGAGTTGGGCCACCCCCTTTCTCTCCTTGACCTGGCACTGATCGTGTGTCCTCTTTACTACTCTGCTAGTGAGACTCACTCCCAAAAACATCACAGTGGTAGCGGGCACAGACCTGGTGCTGCCCTGCCGCCTCTCTTCTAATCTGGCCCATGCCCGCTGGACCTTTGGTGGCCGGGACCTGCCCTTGGAACAGGCCGACTCCTTCCTCTACGATGCCCGACTCCAGGCGTTGGTGGTGATGGCAGCTCAACCCCGCCATGCTGGAGCCTACCACTGCTTTTCTGAGGAGCAAGGTGCACGGCTGGCTGCAGAAGGCTACCTTGTGGCCGTGGTGGCTGGCCCATCGGTGACCCTGGAGGCCCGGGCTCCCCTGGAAAACCTAGGGCTAGTGTGGCTGGCTGTGGTGGCCCTGGGGGCCGTGTGCCTGGTGCTTCTGCTGCTTGTTCTGTCCCTGCGCCGGCGGCTTCGGGAAGAACTGGACAAAGGGGCCAAGGTGGCTGAGAGGACCCTGGTGTACCCTCTGGAACTGCCCAAGGAGCCCACGAGCCCTGCCTTTCGGCCTGGCCCTGAAACGGACGAGAAACTCTGGGATCCTGTTGGCTACTACTACTCAGACGGCTCCCTGAAGATTGTCCCTGGCCATGCTCGCTGCCAGCCTGGGGCTGGGCCCCCTTCCCCACCTCCTGGCATTCCAGGCCAGCCCTTGCCTTCTCCAACACGACTCCACCTGGGGGGTGGGCGGAACTCAAATGCCAATGGCTATGTGCGCTTGCAGCTAGGAGGGGAAGACCGGGGAGGCCTCGGCCACACGATGCCTGAACTCGCCGATGAACTGAGGCGGAAGCTGCAGCAGCGCCAGCCGCTGCCCAACTCCAATCCCGAGGAGTCCTCGGTATGAGGCCGACCCCCCCACTGCGTTGGGGGGCCGTGGGAGGTGCAGCTCCTACTTTTGCACAGGCACCAGCTACCTCAGGGACATGGCATGGGCACCTACTCTGCTTGGGACAGACCCTGCCCAGCACCCACCCAGCCATGAAGACCTGCTCTGCTTAGCATGGGCACTGCCACTTGGTGTGGCTCACCAGGTCACCAGACCCACAGGGGGCATCTTCCTTCTCTCTGTGAGGGGCTGTGAAGCAGACACATGGGACCCCCACAGCCAAAACCTTCCAAGGCAGGAGTTGGAGATGTAGGTGTGTTTGTGCATATGTGTGTGTCTGTGGCTGTTTGCACGTTTGACATGGTCCCGTTTCTGTCGCTTTTTTCCCCGGGCCTGGGGCCCTGGTGAGTCTTTTGGAGCTATGAAGGGGAGGGGATCTGATTACTTTGCCTCTTCTACCCCCAACTGTTCCGAGTGTGGGACAGGAATGTACATATGGGGGTGGGATGGGCAGGGTGCTGTGCCCCTTTGAGGGGGAGTTCAGGACTTAGGAGTGGGCGTAGTTCTGCTCTTAGGGCTATGAATGTTTTCAGGGTGGGGGGAGGGAGATGGAGCCTCCTGTGTGTTTGGGGGGAAGGGTGGGAGGGGCCTCCCACTTGGCCCCCAGGGTTCAGGGGCATTTTATACTTGTCCTCTGTTAAGGGGTTGGAGAAGGTTACTGGGGGAGGGGAGGGAGAGGGAGCGGGCGTCCTGTGGATCTGGCATACCCTCTCAGCCCTAAGAGGAGGGCTCCTAACAGTGTAACTTATTGTGTCCTCGGGTATTTATTTGTTGTAAATATTTGAGTATTTTTATATTGATAAATAAAATGGAGAAAAGGATACTGTTACAATGATGGGACTAAAACATTTGGGCTTAAACTTAGGTGTCAGGAGGTTAAGTTCCCTGTGGGCTGAGTTAGGTGGTCTCTGCCTGTGCCTCACCTGGAGTCGTGGCTACAGGGCTGGGAACCAGACCTCTGTCTGCCACAGCCTCTAGGGATCCATTGATGGCTTCTAGCCAAGGGGTCAGAACATTGGAAGAGAGGAGGAGCCGCCTTCCCAGAAATTGGAGAGGCCTGCCGAGGGCACTCCCTAAGGAGGGAGTTAGGATGGCCCGCTGGGCCCACCAGTTCTTCCAGGAGTCCTCTCCCAGAACACCCCAGCCACATGGAAATGTGGAACTCAGCCTTGCTACGTGCCTGTGCGCCTTCACCTAGTGGAACACACCCCCCCCCCCCAGTGAGGATTCTGCAGCCTCCCCATTTCTGAGTGCCTCTGGCCGAAGGGGTTGAGCTGGTTATCCCTTGGCGGCTGGGATCTACAGGAGAAAGATGGGCAAGTCTGTGATTTTACCTCGTCGGAAAACCCTCTGAAGGATTACCTCAGTTTGGATTTGAGGCAGTTTTCGGATGAGTTTGGCAATAGACAAGGCTAGTAAAGTGTCCCCTAAACAGAGGTGGAGTGAGGTCTGTGGGGTCTCCACAGGCTGCTGCCCTCAACCTCAAGTAGGATGACAAGGGCTGGACCGAGAGCGTGGTCAGTAGAAGTCTTTAGGCTGTTTGGAAAAATGACCATTTATTCCATAAGCGCCTAGTATGGGAATTTCGGCCCTGGGCCTGTGCTCCTGTGCGCGCCCCTTAAGTGATAAGCAAGTTGTGGCCTGCTGCTCCTCATGAACAGGCGTGGATGGGGAGGGTGGGTGGTCGGGACCCTTTAGACAGGGTCAGCCCAGCGGGACGCAAGAGGCCCTGGAGGTGGTCGCCATTACCATTACTGCTCCCGGTCCACACACTCACTGTAAGGCCCCTGGGCCCAGTGTCCCTCCACACAGTGTGCAGAGGCCCGGACAGCGCGTCCCGGGGCCCAGATCCCCGCCCCAAGTGCACGGGTCCTGGCAGCGTATCCCGCCGTCCCAGGGCAGAGTACCCCTGAGTGTGGAGAGACCCAGGAAAAGAGCGTCGGGCCGCCCTCGGCTGATCCTCTACTGCCCTCCAGCGGCTGCCTTGTGGCGCAGGCCCAACACGAAACTCCCGCCCCTGACATCTTGATTGGTTCTCGCACTATGGTCCACATTCGTGATTGGTTAACTCTAGTGAGGTCAGGACGAAGAGGAAGCCGAGTTAACCGATTTGTCAGGCCTGCGGGGCGGGATGCGTGCTGATCCCGCCTTTAGAGGCCCACCGCCCAGGGACAGTCTTTAGCAGCCTAGGCTGTCATGGCTGGTCCTCTTCATTGTAACCCTGGTACCTGCTGCTCCCACCAAAATGCAGTGCCCAGCGCGCAGCAAACGCTGGAGGAGATGGACTTCGAGAAGGGTGAGGCGGGAACTGTGGTCGCACCCCGAACCGCAGCGGGAAGGTCACCGGCCGCCCCACACCGGCGACCCAGCCTTTGGGGCCCCTGTTGACTCACACAGTGGAGGTGGGAGGTGGCCGGCCGTGAAGCGGGAGTCAGCCGGGCTGGGCTCCTTGAAACCAGAAGCGATCATGTCCGATCTGACTCGTGTGTTATCTCGTGCGACCCCGTGTATGTCAGCTCTTCTCCTGAGAGTGTTCAGGTTCTGATTTATTAGAAGAACATCCCCAGTTTTTTGAGATTATTTTTTCCTTCCAGAGACACCTCTGTGTGCACTAGAACCGGCAACCTTTTGGTTAGCCGTTGAAGACATTAACTATTTGCCGCACCTAGGGCCTCTGGTGGGCCCTTAGCTCCTTGCTTATTGAGAGCTGGCCTCGTTTGGACTGGGCTGTTAAGAGACCTGTTGTTGTTGTTGTTGTTGTTATGTGCCGTCGAGTCGCCTGCGACTCATAGCGACCCTATGTACAACAGCCCTAAACTCCGCTCTGT